TTAACTTTGTGTCTGAGACAATTATGCACTATATGTGCATATGTATATTATATATGTGTATTACAGTTTAAATATAATACATATAATGCACAAATAAAATATTATGAAATAACTTCCATTTCACTAAAGTAGTCTTCTACTTCACAGAATTCCTATTTACTGAGAACTTGACCCTGAGTCAGGCACTGCAGTGCATGTGCACATCTTTAATTCTAGCACCTGGAGACGTGACCCAGGTGAATCACCAGGTCAAGGGAAGTTTGGGATACAGAGTGGAAATTTTGTTTCAATAAAATTAAAGCATAATTGACTCTGAACAAGATGAGTCCAAGCGTTTTTTCCCCCAATGAATACTTTCTAATCTAATTTATCTAGAAGTAATTAATTCTATCACTAAAATGATACTTAATTTATTATGGATCATATTTGGTATTAACATCATTGTTCATGATTCCCGGGGTGATAGAATGGTAAAGTACTTTATCGAGAATTAGCAGAGCTCATATCCCTGTGGTTCTAGATCTCGTGAAGCTAAGAACTGAGTTTAACCATCAGAGTACCCTCTGGTCTTACACATTAAATACATACATTTCAAATGGTGTTTGATTACACATGTGGGGAAAAGTAATGCACAGAAGGGAACAGAATGTGACGGATATGGCTGACTCATTGATACGGTCCTCTTTGCGGTTACATCTGTGGATGTATAGCGATGAATCTTCAGTGAGAGTAAAAAGGGGCCTACACTGCCCGACTGTGTGATCGAGGAGCATGGTTAGAGAGGTTCCTCGTCTGCTCTCACAGCTTCTAGAGCTGGTTTCCGTTAGAACTGTTCTCATGACTTGTTACTGTATACTCTTAACTGAATCTCTACTTTCATGACTTCAGGTGGCTCCTCAATGCATAGAACCTTATCACATGTATTCCGTCACAGAAGCATGCACATCATCATTGTTGATGCCTTGAATTAGAAACGAGATCTTCACATCAACAACTCTGAATTTGGGCTTAGGAGTCTGAGTTAATATGAAGGATTTTCTATGCATTTTGTTTGAGATCAGCAAATCTTTTAGTTCAGTTTGGTTTGGGTTTGGTTGGGTTTGGTTTTTGGACATGAACACTCATATAGCATAGACCGTAGAGTCAACCTTGTGTAAATTACCGTGGCCTGAAGTCTTTATCTTCACCTTTGATCAGAAATCAGGTGGTACCTTAGGTCTGTTTGCTACACAAGGATCAGCAACTCAGCTATTATCACTCCTTACAGACTTGGTCATTTCTTCCTTTGCGTCATTGAAACTTTGAGATGCATCAACAGGAAGCATTTATGAGAATTTATTTTCTGTGACTATGAATGGAAGACTATCTCAGCTAATTTAGCTGGATCCTACCAGCTATGAACATGGGAGTCTTTGTGGTACTTTGGGGCAAAGGTCAGTGCTTACCAGCAGTACTGTAAAACAGCTTCATGTGCCAGATGGAGCCAGCGTATGCTTGTTGGGCAACAAGGGATGAAAGGCAAAGCAGAGCATTGGATCAGGGTGATTTTATAGTTTTTCCACAGGAGAGAGGACTCAGGGCACCAGCCATGTTGTTCATCCTCTGAGGGTTTGAACATGAGCACATGACTTCAGCTCTGGAAGTAGACATTTCCTCTACTGTCACTCCAGCTCTGTCCCCTGGCATCCCTTGGTTGGACTCATTTCTCTTGAGCTTCAATCATTCTTAAAGATTTTCTGCCAGCCATTTAAGGACTAAGACTGACATTTTCTGCAGTTCCTCATGCAAAGTCCCTGAGGTACCCCCATGGCAGTAGCCCAGTAGCTTAGAGACTTAAACCCTCATCCAGTACTGAGAGTCTCCCACCTGACATGTCTGTCCCCGAGCCTTCTGGTTTAGCCAAGACAATAAGCCAGCTTGCAAGATTCCAAGCTTGCACCTCCACTTTTCCTCATACCTTTCATCTTCTGCCTTTTTAAAACATAGTTTTGGAAAAATACCCATCCACCTTCTTTCCCCAGTTCCTAACACAAGTTCTAACCTTCCATCCTAGGCTAAGCTGATATTTCTTGTACAATATCACTACTCTGAATCCTGTCTATTACTTTTGTATTAATAGCTGACTTTGATCCACTGATTACTCTCACATGCTTCTATTATAATTCCTTGATTCAGTAGCATGGCATTACAGCAGTAGTCATTTAATGGAGATGTTCACCTTTTCTCCATTTTACACTTGAGGATATGGACACTTTAGAAGGTTGTAATTTTACCAGATGTCACACAGCCAGTAAATGGCAGAGCCAGGATTTGAGTCTGTGTCTATCTAGGTGTATTGGTGTCAGCTGTAGGCAGCAAGTGAACACTGTTGGAAACCCTTGAAGAATTGAAAAATCTCGGCACGAGGAAGGTGGGTGTCTGTCCCTCACAGCAGATGTCAGATTCAGGAAATGGAGAGTGGGCTTCCATTGAATCAGAAGGTGTGCTCCAGAGGACCCATCCTCAGGCTCATTCCCAGGAGCAATTTTCCTTTTGTTCTTCTATACCACAGCTCGCCCCTTCTAGATCATTCTCATCAGCAGGAAACAAGTCCGAATCCTTCCATATTAGAAAACTGAGCAAGTAAGCAAGAATAAGTCACTTTCTCCATTTCCTACCCTGTTTCCTACCCTGTCTTCTATCAGATTTCTCTGGCCCTTTTACAGCAAGAGTTTGGTTGAACTTCTATCCCCCCTTCCTTGTCACTCTGCTTGTTACCCCACATGGCTAACCCCATGGCACATCTGTAACCCTCACCTTAGGTGGCATTACAACAAAAACAGACAAGAGGCACAGTTGATTCTTAAAAAAAAACCACTAAGAATTATCTTTTCTTAGCTTCTGAAATACGTGTTCTCCTTTGCTACAATCCCTCAATAGCCACTTCCTGAAGAGGATACTAGGTCTACTATTGGCAGTGGCCAGTGAGTTAGCATTGGATTCTTGTTTCTCTGTGTTTCTTCTGGTGAATTCACTCATGCTGAATGCACCTAGGTCTATGCCATACCAGTAGACACACAGACCAAAATATGACATCCCAGTGGGGTACAAGTTCCTGCTTGGTGTAAGCCATGTCAAATGATCTTGATAATTTGTGCTTGATGATCTGTCTGGTAATACTAACTTGAAGATAGCTGATGCCCAAGGCTACTGTCCACCAAGGGCAACACTAACCTGGGTCACACCTGAGTTTCACAGGCAGAGAAAACTATGAAATCTGAGTAGGGTATGTGTCCCTTGTCTACTTCTAGGCTGGTAACTATCTAGCCAAGCTTGAGTCTGTCCTACTGGCATGCAGATGGTTGTTTAATTCCAGTGCATTTTGGGAGGCTTCATCTGTGAGATGTGGCCTGGGTCTAAAAGGCTTTACGTTCTGTTTGTTGCTACTTCCCACTGCAGTAAGCAGAATTCTGGGCTAGATTTGGGCCATGTTGCCTATAGTTGGAGACCTTTCTGCTCATCCTTCTGTCCTACCCAGATCCAAGGAGGAGAGCTAAAGGAAGTGAGGCTTATACAGTTCCAGTTGTTCAGTCTAGCCTGGGGAAAGGGTTACAGAATTCTCCCAGCCAGTAATAATTCACTATGATAGCCTGATACTGAGTTTAAAGACTAAGGCCTGGGCTGAATTCCTTTTCTCTGTCTCTCTCTACATTTTGTGAACTTGGAGGATTGTCAACATGGACAATCTTTCCCTCCCATCTCTTCATTGTGTCTTTTCTTACTAGCAAATGAAATCAAGGCATGATGGTCTCTCATGTGGCTTCTTTAGGTATTAGAGGGTGGGTTGGGCTCTGAACAGCTAATCAGAATTTGTGTGCCTCTGGGAAGATGGTTGCTAGGGGGTCTCTATTTAGCTGCCATCTTGTTCTGTGATCTTTCAACTGGGCTTCTCAGATAAACCAAATGTACCCTGAGTACAGCCCAGAAGATGCCTAGAACTGTATTGTTAGTTAGAGAAACCTCACTTACTCAGACAATAAATGTTTGTTGAATATGTGTTGTATCGGAGACCTGCAGACATGAACAACAGAGTCCTTGCCCACAAGTCACTTTCATCCCAGCACAGAATATAAACCAAAAGACAAACAAAAACTACTGTATTGCTAACTAGACAAGCAGAGAGGAAAAGGAAACAGTTTGTGGTAACAAAGAGGAAAAGGACCAGCTCTATTTTTATCATATATGTAGGGAAGGTTGAGCAGATATCTATAGAGAGGGTGGGTTTCAGCTATTCAGACACATGGGGAAAAATTAGAGGGCCGCAGCACTGGGGTCGGGGAGGCTCCCACGCTGTGGCGGGTCCCACATTCAGAAGGAGGTCTAAGGTTCCAGCGGCCTGGAGGCTTTGGTGGTGGCAGGCCTCAATGACACGAGGAAGTCCTTGGTTCCAAAAGGGTTTATTGTCATGGCGGATGGTAGATGGATCTGGAAGTATGCCCCATAAAACTCAGGGCAGTCCTGAGTTATATAGGGAAGGAGAAAGGGGGAGGATCTGGGGAGAATCGGGGGAGGATCTGGGGAGACATGCTTAATTTGCTCTGTCCTCTGGCCTTCATTAGTATGTAAATCCCTAGGCCCTGAGGCCTCTAGTCACACCCTCTACCTGTGCACTTTGGGAGAGGCTGTAATGGCCGGGCTACGTGACTGAGTTTTATGGAGACTAGACTGTTTTTCAGGACCCTGGGTTCTTGGGGCGCGCCGAACTCCTGCTGGTTCTCATGCAGAGTCTCGGAGTTCTAGGCAACTGCCCAACCATGACCCAGAATACCCTTACGAAGTCCCACACAGACACACTGTGAAGAGAGATAAATGGTTTTGACAAGAGAAAAAGATGGCATTTGTTATGTTATTAATAATAGTTCAAGAGGGTTACATGTGAGTATTTAGAGAATGGGCATCTTCAAATAAGAGCCAGTAACATTAGAATTTTGTTGTTGTTTTGTTTTGTTTCTAATTTAAAGGTTTCATTGCACATTCTGTGAATAATACAAAGGCAGTTGGCAAAAGACAGAGCAGAGGGCTTGGATTCAGAAGACTTGAGATCAGGCCATCTAGTCATCCTTTATAAGCTGTGTGATATCAGGTAAGTCTTTCTGCTTCGAATATCAAATTTAAGCTACAATTGCTGCGGAGCTGGTGTTTTGCAGGTTTTCCATACAGTGCACTTTCATGTAGTGGTAACACTCCTCCCAATTTAGAAACAAATCAGTCTATTGTATAAATCTTTTTTTTTCTTTCCATCTCTCAGGCTCCCTATGTGAGCACTTTGAGTATGCATTCTGCACGGCATAGCACTGTACTCTCAGATTGCAGCTGCTACTATTGCTGGCCAGGAGGCTGACAATCAGATTGGAGTGCAGTTCCTTCGTGTATAATCCACCCACTAACCAACACTTCACTGGGTGTGTTTTGTAGTTCTTTCAGTTGAGCCCAGAGCCTCCTGCATAGGAGTCCAGGGCTCTACAGCTGAAATTCATTTTGGTCCCAACAAATACTTTACAACGTTTTAAGTAGACTTATTATGTAGTAAAATGAAAAATTGTATGTAAATAAGATAGATAACCTTTGGAGAAATCAGTGTCTTAATTTTTCATATAAAATGCAATTAAATGTGATTATGTTTTTATCGAAGAGGGTGTAGGAAGATTAAAATTTCACACAGACCAGCAGAAAGCATGCTGAGGTGATTAGCATACTGCATATACTAAGCCAGAGGAGATTTCCTTCTTCCCTATTATTCAAACGACTGGTACACTGGTGCAGATTTATCACTGTGGCTATTTCGGGTGTATTTCTTAAGTTGGAAAGGATGCTTATGGTAGTTTTGGGCTTTGAGTAAGAGCATCGCCCATGTAAGCAGAGCCACTCTGATCTCTTCCTTACCTGCCCAGTTTTTACCAGGATGGTGGTAATGTCTCATTAATTGTAGTCTATAGAGCTCATTGGCCTTGTCTGCACTGTGGGAAATGTTGGGGTCTTTGGCCAGTCATTTTCTTCTCCTGAACCCCCTGTCTTAGTCATTTTCTTCTACCTTGTTCTCTCCAATGTCAACTAGCAATATCAACGATATTCTCATACGTCACTGTCAGACACTGAAGCACATTGTTCATCTCTTTCACCACTTTTCACCTAGACAGTTGATAATTCTCACAGGTATGTGAGTTTTTAAAATATATATTATGAAAACAAGACATTTATTCATTATGGACAATCAAAGTGATAGAGTCCCAGTTTGGACCTTTTTAGTTGTTTGTATTTTTATGAAGAAAGTTAGAGTATGCATTCAATGAAATTTAATAATCTTGCTTCCCTAACATGTCCTTTATGTACATTGTTTAGTTAGTTTTCCTTTTTCTCAATGTAAAGTGAAGAAAAAAATACAGTGTTTCTCAACTGTATTGCTATTCCTATTCAGGTATTTTATCTAGATGAGTATTAATTTTGTGATATAAAATAAATATAAATTATTATCATTCCATATGTATTATTCTGAATACTTTTCTTTGCTGATAATTCTTTCTTTCAGATTTATTCCTATTGTTTATGTGCCATGTTTCTTTGTATATGTGGTTCTGATTTTATTCTGACATTTCTCTACTTACCAACTGATTTTCTTAATTATTAAGTCTTTATAAAAGTATTTATAGGTAGTAAATACAGTGTTACTTGGTGAATATTTTGACTTATTTTATATATTTTTGTCCTTACCTTTTCATGCAGATTTTATAATGATTCTTAGAAGATTTCTCTGAGATTTTTGCGTGTAGTCTGTATATTAACTGACAAAGTTGACATCTTCATCTTATTGAATGTTCCCATTCAGTATATCACATACATCCTAAATTAATAGAGAGATAAACTAAAGAACAGGGGAAAGGATTTGTAAACAGACCAACTCATATTTGGGAAAGTGAATTTTTGGCAAACGAAGAAACACGGTCTTCTCCATACAATCATGGAAAAATTCTTGCCATGCGAACAAAAGGATCTTCGTATAATTGTATACCATATACAAAAGAATCCAGAATAGGCCATAGATATACAAATTAAACCTTTAAAATCTCTAGAGAAGAACACAGGAGAAAAATCTTCTGATCTTGAATTTGAAAAGATGGGACTCTAAAATGTGGTCCTCAAGTGAATGAACTGGTAAATGTACTTCACATATATATATGTGTGTGTGTGTGTGTGTGTGTGTGTATGTATGTATGTATGTTAAAGTTTTAAATTGTATACCTGAAGTATACACTCTGTACCATATCCTGTGCTTTAGAGGGGACAGGAACATAGACACTAAAAATTCCTAAATTATAACATGCTGTTTGAAAGTATCCTTTTCTGACACTATCTGACACTAGTGACCATCTTGCATAGTGATTCATTTTTCATGTTTCACCTAATGCTCTCTTACTGCTCTGTCATCTTGGGTATTTCCTATTAACCACTCACTCTGTATATACTGAATGTAGACTTGCATAGAGTGCTGTGATCTTACAGTTGAGTTTTCTTTTCAGGCTGATCCTGGATCTGTGAGATGGAGGGTGAATATAGAGAAATGCTCTTGTTGACTGGCCTGGATAACATCACAGAGGAGGAACTGAAACGGTTCAAGTACTTTGCCTTGACTGAGTTTAAGATTGCCAGGAGCAAACTAAACACTGCAGACAGGGCTGAGTTAGCCGAACAGCTGATTCAAAGTGCAGGTGCAGAGTCTGCAGTGATGAAGGCCATTTGTATTTTCCGGAAGTTGAATTATATGCATATTGCAAACGCTCTTGAAGAAAAAAAGAAAGAAGGTGTGTATAAGTGCCCCCCTTTAGTGATATGAAAGAAATGAAGCCCTTTTATATTGCATTATAGGAAATTAGTTTGCTCAAACACCGGGGCCTTTGCCTCCCTGCTCGAGAGTCACTAAACAACATATTACAAATTCCTCAGCCATATCTGATGCCTGTCTGTCTGATGTCATGGCTGTCACCAATATTGCTTTCTTCACCAGACTTTTTCTCCAATCTACTTGTGGAAACCGTGGAAATGGTATGTTGGTGCTAATGTAAAGGTCCCATTAAACAGTACATAAAGTTTTCACACTTTGCTGAAGGCCTGACTATAACATTAAGAAAACATATCCTTGAATAGACAAACCAGAGAACTGTTTAACTTTGGGATGGACTATCTTCTTCTACACTGAGCCATTCTGCCAAGGTCCCAGTCAGTCATTTTTAGAAAGCATTTGTGCTTCTACTCCATGGAGTTTCCACTCCTTATTTATCTCCAGTATAGATGATATTATGAATTTCCAGGGCATAAAGCACGTAATGTTTGCATTCAATAAACTACCTACCAATTTCCACCAATTATATGCATGTTAAGTTCCTGATTGCTCCCTAAGAACAAATGGCATGTCCTTGGTGTTCAAACAACTAGTAAGAGCCTACAAGAGAATACTGCATCAAGGGAATCCCTAAAATGAGAGATCCCAAAGGCAGTAGTTTGGGGATATTGTGTAACACAGAAGCTCAAAATGTTAAGAGCAGATGTGTGTGATGCAGCAGGAGGGCTTGTCTTCCTCAGGGTTATTTTTCCCCCGTTTAAATGATGAAATAAGGGTAAAATCACATACAGATATAAGATGTTATATGACTTTGAGGAACGTAGAGCAAGGCCTGATCATGATTACTTTTAAGAGTGGCTGACATTGGACAGAAAGTGTAGTTCTTACATTTGACCACACGGTGGCAGTAAGAACACATCATTGCTCCAGTAACACTGTTCATCTACTGGCAACCCAACTGAGCAAGTCTGATAGGATCTTTTAGTTATCCCCTCAACCCCAGAAATTAATTCCAGTTCATGATTTTTTTTCTGGATAGGATGATATAAAACCCCGTTACTTAAAAATATTTCATCCATTTTACTGTTGTAACGATGGAGGGATTTTATCAGCTTGATTAGCTTAAAAGATCTACTTTGAGATCTGGTTGAAAACTCAGGAGTGACTGCTGACCTAGAAGTCAGGTTAGTTCCTTTGCAGTTTAGAAGCATTACGTGAAGTAATCTTGAAGCCTGCCTCAACCACAGCTGTGTCAGTCATGCCAGTGGCGGCTGCGATAGAACATTGATCTCTAGGTTGTTTCCCAGAAGTTTCACCTCGTATTTATTCTGGTAAATGTCCAGCATGTCATGATCTTGCCTCATGAAAAGTGGGAGAAATCCAAACAAATTAAACAATGTCATTAAAGAATGATAACAGCGTTCTGACCTTTAGTGGAGGCTTGAGCCAAGAGAACAGGTGAAAAATTATAAGGGCAAATAAGTATTACAAAGTCAAGGAAATCTAAGCAAATTCTCTAAGGACAATGATATTAGCTAGATGAAAAGTGTTCATTGAATTATTAAATAAAACAAGAGGTATCTATCAGGAAGATGACACTTTTCCAAGTATTTCCACACGACACTGTGAATGACATTTTTTAAAAGAAGGTCAAAGATTGACAGGATGGAATAGGATGACGTGTTTATTCCCTTGGGCTCCACTAACTCTGCTTTCTCCTCTCCTGTACTGTCAATAGAAGCTGGATGTTCTTATGTGCACATTTATAAAAAAATAAAGAAAAATTTCATAGAATAACTATTGGAAGACCAGTTGAACTTCTTGCCAACATATTTAGTCATTTTGAAATTAGTGACATGCCACTGTCATTTTCTAAGTTTATACACCATAACAGCACAATGGAGTTAAAACGTAACCAAAAATCTAGTAAGCTTATAGTTTTGCATTAGGCTGCATTCAGAGCTATCCTGGGTACATGTGATTCACAGACCATAGGTTAGACCTGCCTAAGAGAATAAAGGGCCCTATAGGATTTCTGGCCAAGACTCAGGTCCTTTCTGTTGTCTGAAATAGAGTGACAGAATACTTATTATGTGATGACTGTTAGCCATATACATTAAATGATTTGATTTCTAACAAAATTAAATCCATGAACATTCCTGAATGGTTAAGATTCTGTGAGAAACCACATCTATAAAGGTTCTTACCACATCTTTCCCTATAAGTTCCTTAAGTAATTAAGCACTGATCATATTAATAGATGGTCACTTAAAAATTAGGGCAAAAGGTTTCCTTTTCAGAATAAAATAAAGGATTGGTGTCTCCACATTTGAGGAAAAGAAAGCAGTGACTTTTTTTTGGGGGGGGGGGGGGCGTCCTTGTTCTAATTCTCTTTCACTACCTCTTCACTTCCGCTTATTCTTTAACCCAGGCTGTGCTTTGCATATGTCAGCTGGTATCAATTACAAGGACATACCTTGTTCTCAGGCTCTCTGATTAGACCAGGCTGCTGCCTGTGTACTGTAGTCAAATAAAAATATTAGCTACACTGCATGGTTTAGTAGGATCACTAACTGGGCTTAACAGACCAGTAGAGCTGCTGGCTAGAGTCTTTGGTCATCTCTAATTAAATTAGGTCTTAAATGGGCAGCATCGCTACTTGGATTCTCTATTTGTGCATGGCCTTAGGGTTCTAAGGATGGGAAGGATGCTGCTGCTGGGTTACTTGGAATGGGCATGGCCTGAGACTACACACACACACACACACACACACACACACACACACCATGCCACATACTACACACCACACGTCCATATATAAAATAAAATCTCAGACTTTTCCCCCAGTTTGGGCTCACCTGAGTCACAGGCTTAGCTCAAAACTCATCCCAGTCCTATCACTTCTTGGTCACTAGGTTTGAGGAGACCACATGCTCTGCCAAAGAAACATTGGACACACTTGCCTTTAACACGAAGCCTTTATTTTTAAACACTGGAGCTGAGTGGGGTGATTTTCTCAATAGGCTGTGTCTAGCAAGATCAGATGGTTAATTTCAAAGGCATCTGTGTGCATGAGACTACCTATAGTCTTCAGGAAGCCTGATACTTTGCTCATAGGTTGGGTGGAGTCAGCATTCTACAGTGGAGGTCAGGCAAATTTGGATGCTGTGCTCCATATATGTGCATATGTGTATACCCTCACCCAGAAAGTCTCAAGCCTTTTACAGAATAGTAAGATGAGTGGAAAGTTGACTATGATTCAAAGCCAACAGGTCTGTTATGTGAGCCTCTTAAAAGTGTATTTGGATATTCTGTGTGATTGGGTGACTCCATAAGGCTGAACATGTATTGGTCACAGTAAGACCCACTTCATTTTGTTTATTTCTAATTGAACCCCCATTATTCCAGTCTTGCCCGTGTACTCAGTATTTCTCATGGGATGAGGTAAGAATGAGCCATCTATAATGCCTACATAATGCTGGGGTGCCACATGCTTACTCCCTGCCCTTTATCCTCACCATAGGTGGGGGAGGGCCATGGGATTCTCTCTACACAGTACTATCCCATTTTGAGAGGTAGATAACATGGTTAAAAATGAAAACATTCCTCTCAACCTCTAGAGTTGCTTTTCTCAGTCTTAATGTTCTAGATGGCACCTCTGTTGCATTCGGAGATTTTCCCAAAGAGCCTTATCTGTGGATATTCATGTTTTATATTCTTGTGAGGACCCAAAGACAGAAAACTCCTAGTCCATCACCCTACCACCGTCTCCCTTCTAATTTTCTTCGTGAAAGTTAATGATATTTTAATGATATTGTAATTAAAATTAGAATGCTAATGAGAATTCTAGTTCTCAGCCATGCTTACTCATAGATTTTAATGTGTCTGTTTCTTCTTCTTCTTCTTCTTCTTCTTCTTCTTCTTCTTCTTCTTCTTCTTCTTCTCCTCCTCCTCCTCCTCCTCCTCCTCCTCCTCCTCCTCCTCCTTCTCTTCCTCCTCCTCCTTATCCTCCTTTTTCTCCTTTTTTCTTCAGCTGAAAGTAAATACATGACAAATACAAAGAAGAAAGGAACACAGAAGGTAGAAAATAGAAGTCAAGCTGAAAAATGTTCTGTTGCCTCTGCCACTTGCAGTGACAAAAACTTCAAGGAACACTCTACTACAAAAGTCTGTCCTCAAGCTAAGGTAGGCTAGTGCCACTCCTGTTGTCACTATCCCTCTCATCTAGCACAGGAAGCCTTCTGCTCTTTGTCTCAGAAATCAAGAAATACAAATCAAGAAATCAAGGCTATCATAGGAAAAATATGTCTGCATTAGAAAAAGAAAAGACACTCCAATTCATCAGTGTCCATGCCCAAGAAGTTTCTAATTTCTGCCGTGTTGCTATGTTAATCTCTATTTGATGAAAACTCTGCTGGGACCTTTTTCAGTGAGTATATTTCACGGTGCTTTCAGCATTAGTTCTTGTGATGAGGTTTAGGATGAGAGGGAATGGGGAGAGTTTTTAGTTCAATGGAATTTCAGAAAAGAGTTCAACCTGTCACACAGGAGACTTTGGAGCTAAGAATGCCCTTCAGGATTGCTGCAATGTGGTTGGAAAAGCCAGTCCCTTTAGTCACTATGTGCCTTCTCTTATTGTGGTGGAGTGGCTCTTTGTAGCAGAGGGACTAAAACTGGAAGAGATTCCCTGGCCCTTAGTCCTGACAAAGCAGCATGTCAGGATCCACCATAAAATCCTCCACACATCTGTAATTTCATTTTCTGTAAAGAAAGTGTCACATAACTTTATAGAGGAATCAGCTTAGGGTATGTACACCATTCTTTTTAGAACACACACCCATTTCTTCTGTGTTTGACTCAGAAATTTCCAGAATTGTCAAGAAAACAATACTCAAGTTTAAATGTTACATTTTAGTAAGCAGACATAAAAATGCATATTGTATAATCTCGGGAAAATCCAATAAAAATGCCTAGGACTGAAGAAAACTAAAATACTTCTCAGTGAACTTGACACTTTCCTGCTTTGGATCAAATTGAGACTGGGATACTGTTCATTAAATGAACTCATGGGCTCACATCCTAAGGTCTCCCAGAGATCCAATTCAAAACATACTCTTCTGTGCCTCTGTTTCTCAGGGTCTCCATTTGGTTATGGATTGTTAATTGCTTTTAAAACAGTATTGCTTCTAACACATACACATGCATGAACAAACACACAGCCACACACAGACATGTGCACATACACAGTCTCTTACTGTTTTTAATTTCTTAATTTGGAAGAACAAAAACAAGAAGAGAATAAAATTACAATCTTAGTGTGTAGAGAAAAGATCATTTATCAATAGCTATATCCCAGTAGTGTGTTTATGTGGGTTATTTTTGCATTTATCTAATAAAAAAATGCATTATACTTTATCCTTTGTTAAATCAACTAAAATAGTTTGTTACATTATTTCTATAAAACATTTAACTTTTTTGTATATTGTGCTATTAGACTTTATTTGACAAAATCCATTTTTGGAATTTAAATGATTTTGATGAGGTATAACTGTAAGTGATAATATGTAATTTTTGTGTAAGCCTTAATATATGTGCTTCTGAAACATACATGCATGGACAAAGCACAGACATGCACATTCCTGTGCACATAAACGCTGTCTTCTATTGCTCTCACTTTCTTAATTAAGTTCTTAATTATGTTCTTTGTAAGAACATAAAAGCAAGATAAGAATTTATTTGTTCTAAGAATAAGTCACTCTTCTTAGAGTAAACTTACAAAGGTAGAGTTGATTCTGTTTTTTAATTTCTTTTTAATTTCTTTATAGAATCTCTTTCTTTGCTCATATTTAATGATCTGTATTTTTGTTATGCCTGGGAATATTCCTGGAAATGTTCAGGAGCTCTCTGCACATCAGTGAGCTGCCTCACCCTTATACAAGAGTCAAATAAATGCTCAGTGTTTGAGGGAAAATTATGCTGTAATAGAATCACAAGAAGACAGAATCAGATTCAGTCCCTGGCAATGATTCAGGTTTTTGACACACTCTTTTCATAACAAAGAAGGATTCTGATTCAGGAATTTTGTCTCCAGAGCCAGGAACACTGCCCCATCTGAATACAGAGCGTAAAACATTCCTTTGATGTTCTTTCAATCTAGATAGCCTCAAGTCTGTAACCTCTTCCTAACATCTTCATTTTCTCTTCAATTCAGCTTCTTTCTTTCTGGGGTTTTACTGCAGATGAGTAAGTGTGGATCCATAGCTCACATCTTTTCTCTCTTGTCACAGCCTCAGAAGAAACAGATGGTGGCAGAACAAGAAGCCATCAGAGAAGATTTACAGAAAGATCCACTGACAGTCATGGTGCTGAAAGCTATAAGTCCCTTTGAGTGTGAGACCCAGGAAGGAAAACAAGAGATCTTCCATGCAACAGTGGCCACAGAGACAGAATTTTTCTTTGTAAAAGTTTTAAATTCACAGTTCAAAGATAAATTTATCCCAAAGAAAACAATAAAAATATCAAACTACCTTTGGCACAGTAACTTCATAGAGGTTACCAGTTCCTCAGTTGTGGTTGATGCTGAATCTAACCATGAAGTCTGTGTCCCAAATAACATTATTAAGAGAGCTAGAGAAACTCCTAAGATAAGTAAACTGAAAACTCAGCCATGTGGAACAATTGTGAATGGGCTGTTTAAAGTCCAGAAGGTAAGTTCCTATATGCAATTTTATATTGATCAGTAAGAATAATTTAACACCTAGTCTAAGCTTTAATGGAACTTTTAGAAATTAAGTTTCAATGTTTTTCACTCTCTATAAAATCTGAAACAATTAAAATTAAATTTAAAAATTGATTTTAAATGATCTTCACAATTACAAAAAAAAACAATTTTACAAAGTTAAGGATGTGTAGGATGATAACTTGCCAAAACTTGTGTACAAAGCTCACAGAATTTTATTTTGTATTTTTGATTCTTTTGCTTTTTGAGACAGGGATTTACTGTGTAGCTTTGTCTTGTCTGGCATGCACTGAGATTTCCAGCCTCAACCTCTTGAGTGCTGGGACCCAAGTGCATGTCACCACACACAGGAAGGTTTAATGTTGAAAGTCTGATTTTAAAATTACTTTTGTTTTCTTTTTTATCCTTGTAGCATCTGAAACATAGACACAGGAATCTTCCACTTTGTTGCTTGTATGTACTTATGTACTATTCATATTCAAAGTCGCTTTTGTTTTGAGCACTCTGCAGAGGACTGACGTGCAGGGATGGTTTGAAGACAGCAGGGGTGGGGGGAAGGGGGAGGGGGAGAGGGAGAGGGAGGAAAAGAGAGGGGAGAGGCGGTGGGGAACCTGACTTGAGCTTCGGAAACATCAAGGCCCACCCCTAGTAACCTTTTCTCCGACAGAGTCGCTCCTGCGCCAACAATATCTTAGTCCTTTCAAATCCGACCACTCCCTATGATCCTGTGGGGACCATTTTCATTCAAACCAGATCCTGTGGGGACCATTTTCATTCAAACCAGTAATTAGGAAAAAAAAATACTAGTCTTGTATGAACACTTTTCTGACCTAAGACAGATACTGAAGAACCACAGGAAATCTGCTGATTTCTGCACCTAGTAACCGGGATGGCATCTCTAGTTTGTCAGAAAAGGAGACAGGAGGAAATTGTCCTCCTTGGAAAATTAAAGCATAAAAACAGCCCATCTCCCCCCTCAGTTTTGAGCCTTCCATTTGATCAATTACCCATTAATGTGTACTCATTTAGTGAACAAAACTAAGATTTAAGTACTGATATTTTGAATAACTGGCCAGTGTCTGGTCTCCTTCTAATCTGGACTTGACTGGGAATGATACTTTATTCATGGTTGAGTTTTTAACGTTTAATTTCTTCACTAGGGCTTTCATTGTTTGTTCTCTGTACTTGTTTCCTTAAGTGACTCTCCTCCTAACCACAAGGTGTTCCTTTCTGGTAACTTCCTCCTGTGTGCTAGCCCTGGAGAAGCCCCATCTTCCCTGGCTACTAGTTGTTTCTGTGAGCTATCCTGGCCTCCCAAAGGAAAAGAGCTTGGGACTAAGAAAGAAAGACACAAAGGGCAACATGCTTTTAATAAAATTCTTCCACCCCTCCACTGAGATTTGCTAGTATCTGTTAGGTAGAAGCCTGTTAGTTTGGAAGCAGGAATTATTCCTTATATTTCTTTTGGAAAGCTGCTCCTGTCTTCTCTGATAACTGATTTATGTGCTGTTCTTCTGTAGTCACCTCAGCAGGACTTGATTCGTATTTTCCTTTCACAGATAACAGAGCATAAAGGTAGAGTACTGTGTGGCATACACGATAGAACAGACACAATGGATGTACTGCTGCTTGGAAACCAGAGCCAAGCAATATGCGAGGAAGGAGACAAGGTTAGGCTCACATTCTTTGAGGTGTCAAGAAATGGAGAGAAAATTCAGTTGAAATCTGGACCTTGTAGCTTCTTTAAGGTATGGAAGTTCTCAAAAGAGGATATTGTTTTATGTTGTCTGACAGAAAGCCAGTTAACAGGATATGACAGAGAAGAGCTGATATGTGGTGCCTTGTCATCTCACAGACCTGAGGAGCCTCTCTTTAGAAAATACATATCCCAGATACACAATTACAAAGCCATGCACAAAAAAGCACACACACACACACACACACACACACACACACACACACACACAATCTCCTCCACCATCTCTCTGAAAAAACTCCACAATAAGTTTCTTGAATACAGTCTAAATCTAATGAAGGCAGCTTGTTCAAAGTTGCACACATCATTCTGGCAAATGCAGTTAAAAGTCAAATCAGACAATAAAACACCCTGACAACAAATGTATGAGCCAGGGCAACCATCTTTGCATCTGTCATAGTCCAGAGCATCGAAGTCAGCTATCACATCCCCCATACTGATGGCCCCACTGATGCTTTCCTCTCTTCCTCACCGTTCAACTGTGTTTATATAGATTGTCATTAGATCAGGACCTGAGAAGTCTTCATAGACTTCCTTCTTAGGTAGGTATGTGTGTTCGGAGCAGACATAGTTCAGAAAAGTCATCCAAGAGTGAAAGAATTAAGAGTGGACATGGAGGGAAGGGGAGGAGATTTGATGAGAAGAAAAGCACATTTCAGGAGAACACAGTAAATGGAAGTATAGGATAGTTAATTAATTGATCAACAATATTTCAGTCTTCAACTTTCTTTCCTTCCCAGGTTATTAAGGCTGCAAAGCCAAAAACTGAGACAAAAAGTGTGGAGTGAAGTCAATTCATTTAAAAAGCATTTTCCTGAAGAATCTTAATGCTGCTTCTTGAACCAGACTGAGCAACCCGAGGACAGCAGTTTACAGCCTCATCATCTTATTGTATTAGGAAAGGAAAAACACACAAAAAATAACTGGAACAATGTATAAAAGGTTATAATTAATTAAATTATTGTTTTATCTAAGGGTTGGGCTGTTATTCTTCTCTACATAGAAGTTGAGGCTGTAAGTGTGGCAGGATTGGAGAGGTGACAGCTGTGGCTGGTGTGAAAGGAGCCTCAGTTGATAGAGAAGAAGGTTGGTGATATCTTTTTAATTTTAATTTTTAAAATTTTCTTTTGGAGAGGAGGTTACAAGGGTAGAGGGTAGATATTTTAGTACTAAGAAATGAGTGATATTGGTGTAGATAATGTGAAATTCCCAAAGACTCAATAAAAGAATTAAAAAGAAAGATTGTTGAAAAATAAATAAATATGATTTTGCTCAGGTTTCAGAAAGTTACCAAAAGCTTGTGGCTGTTCTATTTTCATCACATATTCTATTTTGATATTATAATATAATAATACTATTTCCCTATTTTCTTTCTTCTCTCTATACCCTCCCATGTACCATTCCTTGCGTTCTTTTTAATACATGGCCCCTTTTTTCATCAATTGTTGCTATAAGCATATATGTATATCTATATACATACACAAATACAACCTGCTCAATGTATACAATATTACATGTATGTATACCTTCAGGGATGACCACTTGCTATTATTACTTGGTGTTCTCTTTCCCAGGATAGACTGTTCTTCCAATATAAAAATGTTAGGTCATTTGCAAAGATCACAGTATTTTTTTTTAGATTCCACCCAGAGAGCTGAGGTTGCAGTCCAAGCACACAACAAAAATCTAAGGAAAGACAAACATCATTAGAGAGTGTGGAGATGGAAATGTTTTCTATGTGGGGCAGGTAGTGAATACTAGACAACCCATAAATTATAATTAAGTTAAAATGCCAACAAATTGCCCAAGGTTGAGCTTCGTGTCATGAGAATGGAGATTTTCAGAGAATCTCAGCCATAAGAAGAGCCTACACTCATTTCAGGCACTATACTGGGTGGGCATGAAGAAAGTCTAGGCATAGGCTTGGGAAAGATGAGCTTCTGTGGGAAAGGCATGAAGGTCTTCCTTGATCTTCTCATATATGATGAAATCTCTCTAGTGTTACAGGATATTTGATCACACAGTGAACCTCGAGATTGTGTTGCTTACTGGAAAAATCTGTTTCTAGATGTGTGGCTCAACCTTAGCACTCATCTTAATCCCTCTAGCTGGAATACAGATATGCCCTTTGTACACAATTTTAACCCCAAACAATGAAGGTAACGGTAGTTTGTAGAAGGAAGCAACAATATTTGAAAGATGTCTAATTGAGTGGCAGACAAAGTGACAAATCGGAGAAAGATCTGACAGAATATTATATGCCCAACTCTCATGAGAAAAGGAGAGAAAAGGGAAGCTACTTGAGGAACAGTGCAGAGGCAGGGAGGACAGTTTTACTGGGCCACTTGTACAAAAACAAGCTAGATACAGGTAAAGATAGAATGAGCCAGCGAATGAGAAAGAGCCAGAAGTTTAGAACATATTGCCAAAGTTAGTTTCAGGCCTAGCAGAGAAATTAAGGAGAATCTGAGAGAAGCCATATTGACTCAGAGTGGAGAGGAGTTTTGAATATAGAAGCTAGAAGCTTCCAGGACTAGGCCTCCTAGGTTAGTAGACACAGGCAATAAGCCTCCAAGATGACAATTACCTCCTGTGAATAAAAGTTACTCTTACATACTAGGGGAAGAGAAGCAATACTCTTACTTCATGGCATAGAGACCTGTTATGGTTCGTAAGTGCTCAATCCAGGGAGTGGCATTATTAGTAGGCGTGGCCCTGTTGGAGTAGGTATGTCACTGTGGGTGTGGGCTTTAAGACCCTTATCCTAGCTGCCTGGAAGGGAGTATTCTGCTAGCAGCCTTCAGATAAAGATATAGAACTCTCAGTTCCTCCTCACCATGCCTGCCTGGATGCTGCCAAGCTCCCACCTTGATGATAATGGACTGAACTTCTAAACCTGTAAGCCAGACCCAATTAAAAGTTGTCCTTTATAACTTGCATATTATAAATGGTTTAGGTAGATAGTTAATAGTATGATTCTTAAGACTTTTCAGACATTATTACTGTTATTTTACCTTCCTCTTTCCATATCTATATCTATATATCTCCCTTCTTAGTTAGAGTCCTCCCATTTTTTCCATTTCCCTCATCAGATCACTTGTACCCTGCTAATACCCTCTATTTCTTACCTACACCTTAACTCCTGCCATAGTCCTTTTTAACTTAACTAGTTTCTGCAGTTATTCCAGGAATTGTACTTATAAATGTCATGATTTTATTTTCCTTATAGCTGAGTAGTATCCCACAGTGTATATATTCCACATCTTTATGGTCTATTCATTGGTTGAAAGGCATTTATCTTCCTTTTGTTTCGTAACTACTGTGAAGAGAGCAGCAAAGAACATGGCTGAGCAGGTTATCTGTGGAGTTGTGTCCTTTGGATATATGTGATGATAGTGTAGCTAGATCATATGGTGGATTCATTTTTAGCCTCTTGAGTATTCTCCACTCTGATTTCCAGAGTAATTGGATCAATTTGTATTCCCACTAACAGTGAATGAAGATTTTTTCCTGTTCTTCGTATCCCCTCTAGCATTTGTTGTTGGTATTTTTTGCTGATCTTTGACATTATGGCTGGGATAAGATAAAATCTCAGAGATGTTTTGATTTTTTTATTTCTTTAATAGTTAGGGATAACAAACTTTTTTGAGATGTTTCTTAGACATTTTCATATTTTGAGAACATTTGGCTCAAGCATTTCCTAAAAATCTCTCTCTCTCTCTCTCTCTCTCTCTCTCTCTCTCTCTCTCTCTCTTTCTCTCTCTCTCTCTCCTTTTAATTGATTCATTGAGTTTCACATCATACACCCCAGTTCTACTCATTTTTCCATCCCCCTGTATCTACCCTCTGCCCTTGCAACCTCCCCTCAAATTAAAAAAACAACAACACACATACACACACAAACACACACACACACACACACACACACGCACACACAAAACAACGCATAAAAACATCTGTCACAGAAGTCATAGTGTCTCACAGTGTGTCACACGGTATACCTCTCTGTTCACACATCTTCACTTGCAAATGTTTGTTCCAATGAGTCATGTGTCTGGTCTGAGGTTTTGGCTTCTGTCATAACATCAATATTGGGCCTGCAACTGGAGTCCTGCTGGTTATCTTGTTGTCTTGTGCCATGGAGATCCTTCAGCTTTGAATCAGCAGGAATAGCCCTTTTGTGTGCCCCAACAGATTTCTGGCCTTAGTAGCAAGGTCATGGGTGATCTGTGCCCTGAGGGTGTGAGTGTGTGAGAGTTGACCCTGCCACTTATCTACTGTGAGGTGGCTTGAGTGTGGAGGTGATCTCTGTCCCCTTGTCCCTTGCCACCTGAGGCAAGGGAGAGCTGGACCCATGGTCATAAGAGCAGGAAAACTTTCCCTGCCCCTCATTGGTGGGAGAGCTGGCCCTGTCCCTCAGTGATGGAAAAGTGGGCCCTGCACCTTGCCTGGGCAGCAAAGTAGGGCTGTCCCTGATGAAAAAGGCACAAGTGAGCCAGCCCCAAGAGTGTAAGAACAGGAGAGCTGGCCCACACCATTGCTGCTTCCCTGCCTCAGCTGGGTAGCCCAGTGGAGCTGGCTCTGAAGGTGTGAATGCAGGTGAGACAGCCTGCATGAGAATAGGAGAGTTGACTTGTCTCCTGCTGATGGTGGCATTGGGTGTGCTAGGCAGAGCAGTGCTGAAGATCTCACCCTGGTAGTGTGGATAAGGAAGTGTTGGTAGACTGACCAGCTCAACCGCCACCCAGACCCAAGGATTGGAGTTAGTCCATCCCCAAATCTCCACCATTTTGAGTTCTTTATGTATTCTAGATATTAGTCCTTTGGCAGTTGTATAGCAAAAATAAAAAACAAACAACAACAACAAATCTAACAAAAACTCAGACACTAGGCTTGAAAAACTTTCTTTTGAGTAGTCAGTTAAGGTTATCCAAGAGACTTCCAAAACACCACAGGCCATTACTATTGCCCTTGGTTGCCCCCCACCCCGGCCCCAACCAGGTGAAGATAAGTCCCTATTGCAGAAGATACCATGCGCTTCAGAGTCCAGAGGCCCATGGGCTGCAACTGTCAAGGATTATCTTTCATGGTGCCAGAAGATCCATAGAAGCTTACAAACGAGGGAGGCAACCATCAGTGCACCTAGCTATGATGCCTGTAAACCATACAATTGACCAGCATGGCACAATAACTTTAAGGGTAAAGTAGTGTCATGAATACCTTATGGTAACCAACACTTCTCTATTTGAATTTGACATCCACTCAACAAAAATGAAATCATTCCTGGTACTAGGAACCCAGCAAAATCCTTAACTATCATTATAGAAAATCACAACAAATCAAAATGCAGAGCTATGGATCCCAGCCCCAAAGGATACATCTACAAAAGAACTCTTGAACCCAAGGCTCAGAGAACGTTGTCGAAGAGGGGTCATAAAGATTGTGAGCGCCAGAGCTTGACTTTCTAGTCATACTAAATAATTTGACCTCTATGGCCTCTGTGACAGCTAGTTAGCTCCTCACTGGGATCAGCCATAAAAAATACAAATAGGTGAACATATCTGTATTCTAATATAACTTTAATTTTTAAAATTTTTAATTTTTTTTGCTTACATTATATCTCGCTCATTCCCCACCTCCTTGTTACCTCCTCACAAATCACTCTCTCATCCCCTTTCCATGTGTCCTCTGAGCAGGTGGGGCCCCTTATAATATAATTTTATTTGTAGTCATGAAAACTTGAAATTCATATATTTTATATTCCACACTGAACATATAAAAATTATAATTTTTTTTAGTTTATTAGCTATTAAAAAGTTGCCACACTATATAAAAACAATTTATTTTGTTGGATATTTTATTTATTTACATTTCAAATGTTATCCCTTTTCCCAGTTTCCCTTTCAGAAACCCCCATACCACCCCTCCCCCCTCGCTGATTCTATGAGGATGTAATTTCCCTCTTTGTGTTGGAATTTTCCATCTATTATTCTTTGTAGGGCTGGATTTGTGGAAAGGTACTGTGTAAACTTGGTTTTGTCGTGGAATATCTTGTTTTTTCCATCCATGGTAATTGAGAGTTTTGCTGGGTATAGTAGTCTGAGCTGGCATTTGTATTCTCCTAAGGTCTGTATGACATCTGTCCAGGATCTTCTGGCTTTTATAGTATCTGGTGAGAAGCCTGATGTAATTCTGATAGGTCTGCCTTTATATGTTACTTGGCCTTTTTCCCTTACTGCTTTTAGTATATTTTCTTTGTTTTGTGGATTTGGTGATTTGATTATTATGTGACAGGAGGAATTTCTTTCCTGGTCTAGTCTATTTGGAGTTCTGTAGGCTTCTTGTATGTTCATGGGCATCTCTTTCTTTAGGTTAGAGAAGTTTTCTTCTACAACTTTGTTGAAGATATTTACTAGCTCTTTAAGTTGAGAATCTTCATTTGCTTCTATACCTATTATCCTTAGGTTTGGTCTTCTCATTGTGTCCAGGATTTCCTGAATGTTTTAGGTTAGGAGTTTTTTTGCATTTTGCATTTTCTTTGACAGTTGTGTCAATGTTTTTTTTATGGTATCTTCTGCACTTGAGATTCTCTCTTCTATCTTTTGTATTCTGTTGGTGATGCTTGCATCTATGACTCCTGATCTCTTTCCTAGATTTTCTATCTCCAGGGTAGTCTCCCTTTGTGATGTCTTTATTGTTTCTATTTTCACTTTTAGATGCTGGATTGTTTTATTTAATTCCTTAACCCGTTTGATTGTGTTTTCCTGTAATTGTTTAAGGGATTTTTGTGTTTCCTCTTTAAGGACTTCTACCTGTTTACCTGTGTTGTCCTGTATTTCTTTAAGGGAATTATTTCTGTCCTTCTTAAAATCCTCTATCATCATCTTGAGAAGTGATTTTACATCTGAATCTTGCTTTTCTAGTGTGTTGGGGTATCTAGGAGTTGTAGTGGGAAAACTGGGTTCTTATGGTGCCAAGTAGCCTTGGTTTCTGTTGTTTATGTTCTTGAGCTTGCCTCTTGTCTTCTGGTTATCTCTGATGTTAGTTGGTCTTGCTGTCTCTGACTGGAGCCTGTTTCTCCTGTGAGCCTGTGAGTCTGTTAGCCTGTGATCTTAGGAGTGACAGCACTCCTGGGAGATCAGCTCTCTCTGGGTGGGATTTGTGTACAGAGAGCTGTGTCATAGGGTTAACTTGCATAAAAACATTTTCTGATCTTATGCAAAGGTACTAGAAATGTTTATAGAATATTTAAAAGGAAAATATATGACAATACAAACAAAATATGAGAGGGAGAAATTAAATGTTTAAGGATATTTTTGAAGTATATTCTGTGTAATTAAAGATAGATATTGTGAGTCATAGTGAAATAGTTAAAATATTTTACATATTTGTAAATTGTTCAATGACATTGTGATGTTAGGAACAAAACAAACCTATGGAGCATAAGAAGGCACTGTCTCTCATGTCTACAATGTACTGATTTTTCAATAAAAGTAAAAACACAAAGCAAAATATAAAAAGTACATTTTTCTATAAATACCACTAGGTCAATTAGATATCCATGTTAAAAATAATGGTCCCTGTCCATAACTCACAGAATTAAACTAACTAACTCATTCTCTCTCTCTCTCTCTCTCTCTCTCTCTCTCTCTCTCTCTCTCCATATATATGGCTTAGCTGTAAAAAAAAATCTCAAGCTTTAAAATATCCTATTGAATACTGAATACTTTATAACTTGTACTTAGGCCAATTTTCTTCTCATTGACACTAAATTACATATAGCCTACACAAGCTATTTGCTGTTGAGCTTAAGCTTTATTGCATGATGGTTACATAGGATGCAATAGTGATTTCAATCTTTCAAAGATTTTAAGGTTCTTTTTTTTGCCCCATTTTTTTCTTGTTGGTGGTGGAGGGGTTTTTTTTTTTTTTTTTAACAAACTTCCATGGGCTGCAGACTAGAATGTATCTTATTCGCTGTTCAGGTGGAATATTCTGTAGATATCTGCTAGGTCTATTTGATGAATAGTGCTACTTAATTCTGATATTTCTCTATTTTTGTGTCCCAATGGCCTATCTCTTGGGCAAAACGGTGAAATCACCTGCTGTTACTGAGGGGGAGTCAATCTGTTTCTTGAAGTGCAGTAGCATGCTTTTTATGAAATTGAGTGAAGAAGAGTAGTTTGGTGCATAGATGATTGGAATTCAATGTCCCGTCAATCAGTTGTTTGCTTAATTAGAACATGCTGGTTTTCTTTATGTCTTCTGAAAATTGTTCCTAATCGACAGAATAATGTTATAATTTTAACCACTTCATTGGTTCTCCTACTGAAGTAAAGAAAATCAGATTCTGTGGTTAAGGTATATAATGACTAAACTATTTTCTATAAAGAAGTAAATATATGAAGATACATATACCTAGGTAGTTGTATAAATATATTTTGTACATATGTAAATACCAGTATGTCTGCATGCAAATATAAATATATACTGACATGTGTATACTATTAGTATACTATTAGACAAGGACATATATGTATATATATTATTGAGATTTAGATATTATACTGTGTACTTTTATGTACTATAATAAGGCACAAAATCAGAGGGAAATAATTGAAAATGAAACAATATATTGTGAGTCTTTTATCTTCAGATGCAATGCATAATGATAGAACTTTAATAACTTTTTGGCATATGCTGATTGGAAATAAAAAGCCTTGCAATTTAGAATAGTAATCGTCCTACTTCTGCAGCTCAGGGTCTCTATCCTCTTACCCCTAGCATGCTCACCCTTGTGATGTTTTTCTACTCAAAAACAAGCTAATTACCTTCAATATCTGTCTCATACAAGTCTTTTCCTGGAATACCTCCTAGTAGCTCTAGACATTTAAGAGTGAAAGCCAGGAACAGCAGTGGGAGAGTTTCTGAGGAATCCTGGGTTGTGAGTAAATAAATGTTGACCCACATCACAGGGCTAAATATTCTAGCAGATAAGGGACTTCATGAAACCACCAGAGAAACTTCATTTGGTAAAATAATTATTCACACCCTGTCCAGGGACGAACTTTGAAAAGACATCCCCTCACCTCCTTTTCTTTCTCTCTTTCTCTTTCTTTCTTTCTTTCTTTCTTTCTTTCTTTCTTTCTTTCTTTCTTTCTTTCTTTCTTTCGCCATTGAAATCCTCCCTCGAACACAAGTCTTTGATAATTGCCATTTATACTGGACTCCAGACCCTACATTGTTTTTAACTTGATTTCTCTGATTGGAACACAGACTGGTCCTTCAAGAAAAGGGTTTTATCCTTTACTATCACACCCATAGAACAATCTGGCATATTTCTTGAATGCTCTGTGTTTTCCCCTGATTGTCTGATTGTACAAACAATTTATTTTATAATGACTTATAAATGAATAAAAGAGACTCTGGAGGAAGCAGCCATTTAAATAAAATGTTTATTTTTCTTTCTTCATATTTTGAGACATACGGATTGAAATATGGAATGTATAGAATCTAAAATGCATAAGGAACAAATTAAAAGAATACTATTTCCTAGGATCAAGAGCTGGATTTTATATGTAGTTCATTCACTGTATGTCATATGTTCATTCACTGTATGTCATATGTTCATTCACTGTATGTCATATGTTCATTCACTGTATGTCATATGTTCATTCACTGTATGTCATATGCACATTTGTTACTTTTGCACTTGCCGTTTATCAGGACAACTTCATTACTATTGCTGTTCAGGGATCCATGCGTGGGGGGTTTGAGCTGTTTCAATAACTGCATGAAGATTGGGAGGTTCATGGTCTCTCTGCCTAGCCTGGATGACCTTGAGGAAGAAAAGGATGCAGTCAGGTCAGTTGACGTAGCTTGCAATACTCTCCTTTACCCATATTGTCTCTCTGAATCACCTCCCGTTCTTCTCCTTCACTAATTCCTTTAGTGGATCTTTGGAATTAGCTTCACTCCCACTACTTGAAAGCATAAAATGAGACACTTCTACCTACTAGGCCTGGGCACAGATAGAAGAGCAGGAGTAGAGAGGGAGAAATTAAATTCCAAAGACAGGAGTTGAGAAGATTTCATTGCACAGAAAAGGACAGTACAGAGGCATGCCTGAGGCAGCTGCTGGGGTATGGGGATGCGGATTCAGAGTGTTTGACTTATGGTACTGAGAGTAACAGAGATCTGGAAGCATTTCTATGTGAATGAATAGGTCAGTTTCTATATTTTAACTATGCATTAGTATTGATCTTTGGTAGTGTATAGTGAATCTCTGTGTGTGACAATTACATGGATCTTGGTAACTTGTGCTCTGATTTCTTAAAGCATCCTGTGAAACATATGATGTATGTTGTGAGTTCTGTTCATGGTCTTCTGTGATGGACATTATTTCATAGAAACCCCTGAGCTTCAGGGTCTTCAGTCAATTTAAAAATATCAGAGCTGGAGTTTTAAACACATAAGACCCAAATTCCTATAACATAATTTCTCTGTTTTGAGAAATACATCAATTCTATTTTTTACTTAAGGAATAATAGTTTAAAAGTCTTTCTGATTATTTTCTTTTTTATCATGATTTACTCCATTTACTGGATAAACCAGAGACCTGGAGAAAACCAAATACTATTGTCTGTTAAGGAATGTGGCAACAGAATGACTCCTAATGATATTCTGCTATACCTATAGATAAGTGTTTCACTCAGCCATCACTAGACAAGTTTCCTCCTTCAGTAGGTGGAAACTAACACAGAGACCCAAATTCAGACAATATGCAGATTGTTAGAAACCTTGGAACATTCAGTTCTAAATGGGATATCTTCATCCAATTCCTTCTCTCAGAGCTCAGGGAAGTATGTGGACAAGGAGGCAGAAAAAGTGAGAGCAGAAGTATGGAAGACACTAAGGAAACAAGACTTTTGAAACACAGCAGGAACAACACACAAACAAACTCACAACAGAGACTGAGGAAGACTCCACAGGGCATGCACAAGTCCCACACTGTGAAGGGGACATGGATATAAGCACTCATCTCTAACCAAGAAGCTCTTTCCAGTAGACAGCTTCTTGCAAAGGAAAAATTAGTTTTCTCCAATGGGGTCTCACTGGACATACAAACCACATGTAGATAGCCAAATCAAAATGAATTTAAGGATCATTGTGGATATTTTTGTTGTTGTTATTGTTACATAATGCTTTGGACTTTTTTTACCCTATTGTTGTTTTGCTTGTAGATTATGGTTTCTGATCTCTTGTTTCTGTGGTGTGTGTGTGTGTGTGTGTATGTACATGCACATACACACACAGACACACATACGCACATATGCACACATACTTTTTTGTTTTATTCTGGTTATTTTGTTTTGGTTGTTTGTTTCCTAAAGATAGAGAGAGAAAGGTAGGGTAGAGTTGGGTAGATGGAGAGATGGGAGGATCTGGGAGGAGAAACTGTGATAAGAATATATTCTATGGAAGAATTAAAAACAAAAGTAAAATGAAACAAAACAAAGAAAAACAGCCTTATTTTTAAAACTATGGTAAGAAAATGTTCACATACATTAATGCTTAAAACTTAATTTTCTTTCTGTTATAGCCAGGTCTTACCAGAGTATTAAAAGTGATTGTTAGGAAGTACTATGATACCTTAGAGCACACACCTGCATATAACTGTGCCTCTCAGATCTCAGCTGCCACTTATCCAAACTGTAGCTCAGTTCAAAGCAGACGAGCTGAAGCTTATCTCCAGGCTCACAGTACATATTGGCAAACTGTCCATAGACCACCACTTCCATCCTCCCTGTTTTATCTTCTATTCCGTAGTAAATGAATTCACTCTTCACTGTTTTCTGAAAAAAAAAAAATCCATTCATCTTCTGAGAAATGTGTCAGGGGTTGAGACATCTATAAGATATAAATAGTTTAAGATTGTCTTTGTTATGGTAAATGCAGTCCTAGGTTTAGAATTATGGGAACAAGACAGCTTCAGGAATTTTGGTTTATATATCCTGTCCTAGGAAATGCCTCTCAAGAGTTTCTTATTTAAGGTCTTTATCTGATGGATTATTCTAGAAAACATTTCTTTCTACCACATGGGTAGAGATACGAGTTCTTAAGGAGTCCAAGTAGAGAAAAATCAGAGTAAAGCTGATTGCCATTGTGGGTGTCTTAGGTAATGCCACTAGAACTAAGAAAAGTGACTTGTGGCTCATTGTAAGTTTGAGACTATTCAAGTCTCCGCTAAACAGTCAGTGCTTTCTCTATGCTTACATGTATTTACTCTATTCCAAGTACTTCAAACATTAAATCTGTACCACCCAATTCTGCTTTCCTCTCTTGTATTTGGTTTGCTTTGCTAAGGTGTACTTGCACAGTCATTTAAACATACTACACAGAAACACCATGGATAAAAGCAAGATTCCACTGGTGAATATGTACAACACCACACTTTAAACAATGGTTGGGTCTTCTAAGCATGGTGTTTGTAGGGGAATTGGTACTGAAAGATACACCTCAAGTCTAAGAATTCCTCAGTCCACCCTACATTTCTTTTATCCTCTGTCTTAACGTGAGGTTAAAAAACAAACAAACAAACCTGCATTTCTCTAGTCTGTTATACTTGCTTAAGATTTCAAATAAACCTTAATTGCTCAACAATCACTTGATAAATCTAAACCTAATCTGAATGACTAAGATCATGAAAACATTGGTCAGCAAATGCTGATGTGACTGTGAACCCCAGTTCACTGTTGGTGTCATTGCAAATTGGTGCTCTAGAAATCAGTGTAGAGAATGCCCTAAAAGACAAAATGTATTTTCCATATCACCATTGCTTGGCATATGCCCAAAAGAATTGACACTCTACTCCATAAGCACCTGTTCAGCCATATTTGCTACTGATTTATTTACAATAGCTAGGAGATGATGACAATCTAAATGTCCTTCAGCTGATGAATAGATAATGAAAATATAATGTGTATATAAAATAGAATACTATTTAGCTGTAAAAAATGAAATTTGCAGGTAAATACATGGAACTAGCAAATATGCAAATTCATGTAACATGGATCCAGAAAGACAAGTATGTGGAAGATCTCCACAAGCATCAGGGCTAGCAGGGTGTCAATCTACAGGAGGAAGAAAGGGAATCCGGTTTAGCCCTACTCAGAAGCTGGTGTTGTTTTAAACTTCCAGAGTCTGATGCCAGAAAATTTATTTTAGGCATATTTAATTACAGTACAATTTTGGAAAAAAGTTTCTTGATGATAATTAACTCAATTCTATGTGTAAAAGAAAGCTTAAGACATGTTTACATTGAAACTCTTTACCAGGCATATATAACCTCCTCCATAAAGATGAATTCTATTGCCTGAAAAACAATGCTCAAGATAAGGGTTACAGAGACTGACTGAAAGAAACAAAAGTCTGAGGGAGTCAGATGTGGCCTGGCCCTACAGATAGCTCAGAGATCACAGGCTATCAACCACCTGTGCTCTATTTGTAAAGTACATGTGACGTCTCTGATAAGGATGGTTTATATTGACTGAGAAACGCTCTAGATAAAGGTCCAAGAAAAAAGAATCTGTGCAAAGACTTCTACCAGTATTGATAATTAAATTGCTACTGATAAGGGTAAGGATACTGTAAATGGATCATCACAGCAAAATACCAGGGTTTGCCAGGCTTTATGTAGAGTCTCTTTCTAAAGCATTTTTATGTGGATACCTTGAAAACAATGAGAAGCAACCATCTCACACCTTAAAATGGGAAATTTCACTTTCTGCTCCCTGATCAGTCAGGCCTTGTTTTCCTGTGTGCAGAAAAATGACCATACTCCAGCTGCCAAGCTAAGACTTGAAATCTGAGGTTGCAAATGAAATTTTACAAAATAATTTAACAGTTTACCATATATACGGTGAATATTCCATTCACAAATGTTCTTCCTCTTGGTGTACAAAGAGTATTAATTTTAGGTGTTGCGTTGGCTCTTTTTATCAGGGAATATGGGACATTCATCACATTGTCACCATTCACTTCTGATACACAGGAGGCTCTGTATATCTCCAGAAACCCGTTGTAGCCGGTATAATTCGAGATGACAATGACTTTCTTGGGGGTGAACTTTTTCCTGAGGGCTATGTCAAACACCTTCACTCTGAAGTATTCAGTCTCAGTAGCCACGGTAGCATGGAACATCCTTTTGTCTTGTCTCATGTCATATGTGAACGGGTCTGTTGCTTTTAACACCATCACTTGTTTGGAACCTTGCTGGTAACCATCTTCTTCAGAAGGTTGTTTAGGTACATTCTTCAGTCTTGGTTTCTGCATAGAATCAACACAGGAAAACAAGGCACAGTTAATATAAACACTAAGGAATAGTACTATTAAGCAGAGTGGAGGAATCTAAGCAATGCTTAATATGCTGACATAAGTGATGGGAAATGAATGGAGATCTTGGCAGTAATGCCAGCATGTTGTAATTACTCACAGTAGGTAAATAGGTTGCATTAATACTTTGGTGGTGTTTGGCCATACACTCAAGACCTTGTGAATGCTAGACAAATTGTCTTCCTGTAAGCTTTACGCCAAGTCTAATGAGCATAACAGCACATTTTTAAAACATAGGTTATAAGTCTTTACACACACAAACACACAAAATCAGTACTGTCTTGTAAAACAGCCACTGGATAGGCAGCCACTGGAAGCAACCCAAAGGCTCTGCTGATTTGAATAATTCAGATTAGAAATTCTTCCACTTGCCTAAGATCAGCCCTGGAGAAGAATCCTGAATTTGGAATAGAAAGGGTTATTTGACCACCTGTCTGTTCCCACAGTATCCCACAGACTGCATAGCCCAATCTCGCCCTCCCTCCATCCCTTCCTTCCCCTCTCCCTTCCTTCTTCCTCCCTTTCTTTTTTCTTTCTTTCTTTCTTTCTTTCTTTCTTTCTTTCTTTCTTTCTTTCTTTTCCCAGCTCTTTCTTTATCCCTTTGATACAAGGTCTCAATATGTATTTCTGGCTGGCTCTGAACTTGCTATATAGAACAGGCTGTCTGGCCTTGAACTCACAGAGGTCCACCCGCCTTTTTTGGAATTATAGGTGTATGCCACCACATCTAGCTACTCTGCATCATTTATGAATTCATTCATTTATGAATTTATGAATTCATCATTTATGAATTAGAATTATGAATTCTAATTCTCTGAAATAGAGAAGAATGGTGACAATCCCAGAAAACCTAGAGACCAATGCAGGGAGGTAGCTATAAACCAACAGGACTTGCTGTGACCTGATATGGAAACCCGTGAATGGCAGGGCTTAACTGTGACTTTTTGTCAATGTGGTCCTATGTTTTCTAACCTTAGGAAGTGGCACGTTCCCAGTGTGACTTAAGAAGTACCTCAGAATAGTGCTAAGAACACCTGCCAAAAAGTACATAGGACTTCAGGAGCAGATGTTATATACTTCTTTAGAAAGGAAAGAGGTTCGTGGTGCTTACAGGAATAGAAAATACTGGAAAAAGCCTAAAGCCAACCCACACAGGATTATTTATACAATGTATGAACTACTGCAATGTTTCAGATAATAAAATAATTTAAATTTATATTGGTTGATTGAATGGAAATTCAAGACATATTGTGTGTGTGTGTCTGTCTCTGTGTTTTTCTCTGTTCTCTCTCTCTCTCTCTCTCTCTCTCTCTCTCTCTCTGTGTGTGTGTGTGTGTGTGTGTGTGTGTGTGTGTCTGTCTGTCTGTCTGTCTGTGATCACAGGACAACATTCATGTTAGCTCTCACCTTCTACTGTGTCTGAGATAAGGTCTCTCTAATTCCTTGCTGTGCATGTCTAACAAGCTGACCTGTGAGATTTTGCAGATCCTCTTGTCAGTGCCTTCAGTCTCTGTTTTGGGGCACACTGGGATTATACATGGGATTTTCCTGTGTCCAGCCTTTGCATAGATTCTGGTGACCCCAATTCAGGTTGTAAGATGTGGGGCAGTGGGCTATGAGAAAGCCAGAAAGCTTGGTAGAAATCTTCGAAGCCCCGGAAACCTCGGCCTGGAAAGGGTCACAGGACGGGAGGTTGTTTCAGAATTCCCACGCTGATGGCCCTCTTAGCTTCCACTTCCCACAAAGAGACCCGTGACTCTTATCACGTAGGATAGCACCTCCATGCAAATAAGGCATCCTCAAACACCCAAGCCAAACCAATAGGGGCTACCTGTTCTTTCCCCGAAACTGTATATATATAATTCCAGAGCTCACATTAAACTACTACTGCTGTGTGGTGCAAGGTCTCCTGCTGTCGGAGTGTTTTCGCGTTTCCTCGCCAGTCGCCAGTCGCGCACTTCAAAGGACAACGCTCTCCTCTCCCCTTAGTGGAAGAGCAAGCTGAACTAAAAGAGCTGATAACACTTTCTCGCTTTCGGGGGCTGGGACGGAGGTCCCGCTCCGGTTTTCGGGCGACCAGAGGCCGCTGTGGAGCGAGCCCTGCCCCGTCGGTTGCTGAAGGCCCTGGGCCGGCTCCGCTGGTTCCTTCCACGCCCCTGACCCCGGAGGCCGCTTGCCCACCCCTGCTGGCCCAGCCTGGAGCTGACGCCAGCCGCCGCCGCTGACCCCGGTATCCTGCAG